ATATATACACAGTAATACTATATACATGTTGGAGTACATGAAATTGGTTGGTGGAGGGTAGTAAGGGAAGGTGCAGATAGGGGAGGGGATCTAAATGTGATAAAAATATATCCTTTGAAATTTTCCAAAAAAAAAATCAATTAAACAAGAATATTTTTAAAAAAGGGAACTAGAATATGTGATTGATTATTGGCTTGTCAGGGCCTTGCTGTGAAAGTCTTTGGAAGATTTAACAACATGGACAGTTGGGTTCTTTTTCCTGGCTGGGTCTTAACTAACCTCAAACCAAAGTAAACTTTGTGGGTTCCTCCACAACCCAAACTTAGTTTAGTAATATATTACTCCAGAGAAGAAGATACAGTCATCTGAACTGGGCGATGGAGTGGGGTGAACAGGGATGGAGTTATTTTTGCCTCCAGAGTCCTTATTCTAGAAAATAGAGACCCATCAGTACCCATTGGTATGACCATTCTTGGCTAGTTCTGTTCTCTAGGACTAAGAAACAGGAGTGTTCAATGAGAGAAAGGAATTTACAGAGTTCAATGGAGATCTCAGGCACAGACCCTTGCCCAGGCTTAGGCAGCCCCCACCATCAATATTTAGTGAAGACATTGGCTTTGCGATGAGAAAAACAATACAGAATAAAATGTTCTGGGATTCAGCTTAATTGAGCCTTTGACATTTTGACATTTAATCATTCACTTTTTCTCAATAGCTTAAAATGTACTTGTTATGCTAATATCAAGACAGATGGTCTACTCACTTGGATCTGAGCACTGCTTCCAGTTTTCTCACAGTGGTCATTTTCCTCCATTTCTGGGTCATCTGTGTTTATAAATGAATTCTGAGTGGGTAGATGCAGACTGAGGATGTTGTACCACACTAACTGAAGTGGCCTAAGGACGTTGCACTTGTGTGAGAGACACCACTCCACACTTTTTTTATTTGCGTACATTTAGATTGAAATTTTAGTTTTCGGTTTTATCTAAGTATTATTTGTCCCATTCTGTCTTTTCTCATTAAAACCAGTATGTTGTAAATGGGCTATTTTGTTTTTACTCCTAGGTTTCGTAATAACATAAAATGATGATTTCATGTATTCTTTCTGCTCCATATACTGAATGGGCCTAGAAACCATGTTGTTTTGAACTTTTAAACCAATTTCATTTTTTGTTATTGTTAAGGACCTAGTTAAGCATAGTGGTTGAAATCGTTCTAATTTATGCTGAAATCACAACGCAAAAGCACAGTGGTATTCGGGTGCCTTAGTCAAGCACTTGATGGCTGTGTGGTTGAAGCAGTGGTATTTTCTGGCTTCATGGAAGAGCTTTTTCCTGAACAGTATTCAAGGATGGCCCATTTGTCTCACCAGCACCTGTACTTCTGTTTTTTCTGCTTCTGGCCCTTCTCTCTATTCATCTCTCTTTGCCATTTTAAAGATTTATTTATTAGTATTTTATTGTGAATGAGTGTTTTACATGCATGTATGTATACATGTGTGGGCTGGGTACCTGTGCAGGCCACAATAGGGCATAAGATCCCTTGAAACTGGAGTTACAGATGATTGTGAACTACCATGTGGGTTTTGGGAACTAAATCCAGAATTTCTCCAAGAGCAGCAAGTGCTCTTAACTACTGAGCCATCTCTCCAGCCTCTCTTTATGTTGTTTTAATTTCCATTTCCATATGTACTAGGTGGTTCAAAAAGGAACTCAGTTTATATGCCTTTCCTCATTCTTGGTCACTTTCGAAGATGGCATAGTTCTGAGATGCCCCCAGAATTCCCTGTTCTCTGTCTCTTTTCCCTTAGGGTTTATTCCTTTTCTGATCCATAAGGCTGGCCTAAAACATTATTCTGTATAAAAATAGTTGTTCTTATTAAGATGGCTAATGATACTACATATAAAGCCCACAGGCATAAATTGCAGGAAAGCTTGATTAAGGAAGCTGTACTAGGGCATAATCCCATTAAAATTTGGAATTCTGTGGCATTTACCGAGCACCAAGCACTTTCCATTTGATAATCTTTTATTTAATCCTTTATAACAACAAAACAGGAGGGTGTGACCTACTATCAGATTCTCAAAGCTAGTTAGAACAAAGTTGTAATTATAAGTCAAACATTTCCTGGACCTAAATCTTACCTTTGTCACATTGTTATGACTTTGTTCTGACTCCTTGCAATGCTTTGACTTGATCTTTGAATTTAAGTACTAGGCTCTTTTGATTAGTAGGTGTAAATAAGGAGTGTATAAGAGGTAGTCAAAAGGAATGCTAAGGTGTTCTGGTGGGATCAGCCTACCAGTTCTTCTGGGTGGGATAACTGAGATTCTAGCACCTTGGCCTGGTCATATAGACTCACCTCCAAACATGTTCCACCACAGCAACATGGAAGTTTCTCACTGGTTCCTTAAACTGTATTGTACATTCTGATTGGTAGTTCACAGCTTTCGTTAATATAAAGTTACAGACCATTTGGTTTAATAAAAACATGTTTCTGTGGTTCTAAAAAGTGTGGGAACCACTGACTTATAGATTGCCCTGTCATCTTACGATTATTGAAGTGTTTATGTCTTCATGGGAGGCATTCTTCCTCTTCTAAACATCTCTTTACTACTGACAGTGCCTCATTCCATGCTGCCAGTGTGTGGTGCTGAAGAGGGTGAGGGTGATGTGTGTAACTGTGTTATTACCAGTGACTTAGGTTGCTTGCCTTGCTCACTCCAGCAGCATTGATCCCCTAAGAATAGAACCTACAGAGAAACCCTGGTTTTTAAAATTTAATTTATTTTTTATTTTAAAAATATTTTATTATTTTTATTTTATGTGTACATATGTGCACCTATGTTCTGAAAAACCTACAGAATCCAGAAGAGGGCATCAGATTCCCTGGAACTGGAATTACAGATGGTTGTTAGCCTCCATGTGAGTGGTGGGAATCAAACCTGGGTCCTCTGCAAGAGCAGACAGTGCTCTTACCTGCTGAGCCACCTCTCTAGCCTCTAATATTTTGTTTTTAAAGTTATTTTTATTTTATGTGTATGAGTGTAATGACTGCATGTATATAAGAGCGCCTGTGTCACACAGTGCTCGTGGAGATCAGAGAGAACATTGAGTGAGAGCTCTTGGAACTGGAATTACAGATTGTTTGTACCTGCCATGTGGGTGCTGGGAACTGAATCCAGGCCCTCTGCAAGAGCAACCAGAGCTCTTAACCACTGAGCCATATTTCCAGCCCCCAAGCTTTGATTTTGATCCTTGTCTGGTAGTTACAAAACTTGTAATTTCTTTTCTAATTATTACTACTTATTACCCTCTTTCCCGTCTTTACAATTCATACATTATACAAATACACAGTTGTCTAGGGAGTAGAAACTTCAAAAAACCCTTGGAAGATATACTTAATTAAGAAACTTTTACCTGTAAAAGTTAAAAAATAGTCTTTCCATTCTCTATACTGTATTCAATTATAAAATCTTGTAGATTAAGTGAAAATTTAAAAGTTTGTCAGCATAATATGACAAGTTTAGATGCTGTAATTTCATGCCCCCCTTGTTGATCAAATTATTACATAAAAAAAACCAGGAAAATACAAAATAGAAAACCTGCTAAAATTAGTACAATTTGTAATAATTGGAAAATCAGCAAAAGTAATCTTTGTCAATCCACCCTCACCTTCAGTGTGAGAATCGGGGGGAGCCAATTTCACTTTGTAGTTTTTGATAGAATGCTTGTGTTCTGATGTTATGAGTTGCTTAAGATAATTATTCAGACCTTTAAAATGTCAAGTTTTCTGAGTTTGGTGTTCCTTAGCATTGTTTTTAATGGTATTTGCTTCAAACATTTTTTCACTATTTAAAACTGTTTCTTCGAGAGCTTCATGGAATGTATTTTGATCATACTTCCCCCTCTTTCAGCTCCTCCCAGATCCACCTCCACTCCAGACCTCCCACTTTTTTTCCCCAGTCCAATCTGTGTAACTTAAATACTCTTGAGTGCTGCCAGCCCTGGAGGATGGTCCATCTAACAGGGCCCATGCCTTTAAAGAAAACTGATTCTTCCTCTGCTAGCAGCTCAAAATTCCTTAAGTAACAAATTTACTATAATGAGTATTGGTGTATGTACTTTTACAGACTGTTACAAATGAGTTTCCAAATCACATTTTCTTTTCTGCACTGGTTTTTCCTTTTTAAAAAATAAAAGAATTTGCTTCTTTTGTTTTTCATGAGTGTTTTGCCTCCATGAACCTAAGTGCACTATCTGCATGCAATACCTGCTGATGCCAGAGGAGGGCGTTGGATCCCCTGGGACTACAGTTAGGGATGGTTGTTAGCTGCCACGTGGGTGGTGGGAACCAAACCTTGGTCCTCTGCAAGAACAGCCAGTGTGCTTAACTGCTGAGCCATCTCTCTGGCCCTTCCTTTCTTCTTGACAGTGCTGGTGATCAATGAGTGCCTCAAGCATGCTAGGCATGCACGCTACTGTGGAGACGTACTTCAGCCCCGCTTCTCTTTTTCTTTTTCTTTGTTCCTATATGTTTCTTTGTCCTCTCTAACCCCAACTCTGCTGACTTTTTATAAATCTGTATCAATTCACCTCTGGTCAAATGTTCTGTAAGGGTAAAACTGAAGAAAATAATTGCTTTTACAGATTCGTAAGTGGGAAGAAAGAATAGCCTTGAAAGCAGAAAGTCTCTTTCTTATCTAAAACATGTTATTAGGAATTGTAACTAGGTTTAATCATAGAAGATTTTTCTTCTATGAACCTATTGTCCATTAAGCACAATATTGTATTGTAGCTATCTAACTATGGTCATGATTATTCCTGACGTCTCCTAATGACTATAACTTGATTTCATTTTATGAACAACCAAAACTCCATAAAGAAAGCTGTGCATTACTGAGAAAACAGAATGGAAAATGTCTTTAAATTAGGCACTTTTTTTTTTTTTTTTTTTGCTTAGACAGTATGAGTAACACATTTCTCTAATTTTTTCTTAGTACCCAAGGTTCATGGAAAAAACAAGCCATTGATCACTTACGTGGGAGATTCCACTGTCCTGAAGTGTGAATGTCAGGACTGTCTTCCTTTAAATTGGACCTGGTACAGTAGTAATGGAAGTGTGCAGGTAAGAGCATATTTCTATGGCTAGGAATTCGGCTCAGTTGACAAAGTGCTTGTTTTTCCAGCATGAGGACTGGAGTTCAGACCCCCAGCACTGACATAAAGAAAATAAAACTGGAAGAGCGGTTGAGGAAGACACCAGACATGAACCTCTGGCCTCCACATGTACTCACCCACATTCATGGGCACCCACATGCACACATGTACCCCCACATGCTAACATGTACCTACAGATACCACCACACACAAAAAGATCATAATGTTATGATTTGAAGAAAAAGCCCTTTTAGATCAAAAATATATTATATTTGGCTCAGAATTCCAAGGATGACTTCTACTTCTGTTGTAACTTAATATTAAGTTAAAGAAAGCACAGTGATAGATGGCATTGTCCTTGGATGTCAGCATGTTATATTATGTGGGTAAAGATGCTCTTAATGTTTCATTAGCTTATACTTAATATTTTATGTTTAGCAGTTTATTTCAGGTTTTTGAAAGGAAGTTCGAATTCATTTTTAGGATGGGTATGGTGGTTTATACCTTACTCTTAGCACTGGGGAAGCTGAGACAGGAGGATTGCCCTGTGTTTGAGATAAACCTGGGCTACATAGCTACTGCCAGCTGGTACAAAGGCTAGCCAAGGCTACCTAGCAAGACTATATCTCAAAACAAAACAAAATCAAAAATAAAAGGAGAGAGAACTTTTGTGGTGGTATGCACCTGTAATGCAGGCATGTGGGAACCCGAGGGAGGGTGATTACTGTCATCTTAAGGTCATATATAGTGACTTTGATGTCAACCCAAACTATATAATGAGACAAAAATCAAAACATTTTCAGTTGAGCAGTTTAGAAGTAATATCAGAAGAGCTTGGCTTCTTGTCATCCCACGGAGCTAACTAGGAAAACAAAACAGTGAAATTCTAGCCCTTTCCCAACTAGTCTGAAATGTGGGAGACAGGATGCAGTAGAATGATGCCACTTGAAAAAGGTAATGAAAATTCACCATTTAAATTTAGGTCCAAGTTGTTGTCTATAAATGTCATTGGCCTTTGGGGCAGTCCAGACATTGTAAGAAAGCTTAATGCTGCCTTTCAGTTAGGATTTGTCTAAGACAAGTGGCTTTATAAAGCTGATACGAAGAACAACATCAGTATTCAATGAAGAAATTATGTCTGACTTCCTTTCTTTTCCCAAATAGCCTCTAACGGTTGAGAAATTAGGATTGTTCTTCTTGGGGACACCCTTATCTTGTCCTGGTGCTAATATGTATTGAAAGTCCTATTAAAGAGAAGCTACAATTCTAGAATAGGTACACACGAAACAGAATAAATTTTATAAGGCAGTATTCAATTCCTCTTGAAAAAGTTAGTGCTTTGGTAGACAGCCGAGGCCAACAGAGGAAGCGTGTGGGACGGTGCATGTCTGGTTCTGTGATTACATTGTTCCACTTTAATGTTTCAAGAAAAGAGCTCTAGATCATGTAAGTGTCGACTTAAACCACTAATACTTCTGCTTGAACTTCTTGATGATTAGGACAGATGTGTGTCAATATTTTAAAATACACAAATTTGTAAAAACAAATACCAGCTCTGGTGTTTGTAATACACAGTCTTATTTATTTGTGCATATGTGACACCAGACAAACAGTGCCTGAGTCACTTTATATCAAACTTTTAAAAGGTCCTTTTCTACATCCCCAACTTTCTTTACTATTTATTATATGAATCACTGTCTTAATTTTGGCCCCGAGCCCAAGATGTAATTGACTGTGAGACAGGTGTAAGGAAGGAGGCACAGGTCAACACTTTAGTCAAGCACACTCTTAAAATGTAAGCAGCCATCTGCTTTGTTATCACCTGTACTCTTCTTTAAATTCAGTCCTTTGATTTAACACCTCTGACATAGAGAGGAACTTTTGTCCTGAGCATCCCAGGCCGCACTGGAGGCATCCCAGGCTGCGTTGGAAACAAGTCACTGCTAGTGTTGCTTTTTTTTCTTTTTTTCTTTTGGCAAATAATAAACTCACAGAGAGGTCTTCCTTTGAGAACATTTGTTGAACAGTGCTGGTTGAGAGATAGAGCAGGAAAGGCATCAAATGGCTTGAGAATAAAATTTAATTTAGATAGATTAAGGATAACAGCTTCCAAATAGCTTAGTATGGCACTTGTGAACCTGGGGAAAACTCAGGGGATCCTAGAAGCCAGCCTGCCTGAGAGAGAAAGAAACTGGGGCCTGAAAGGAAGGAAAAGGCTCTAGGCCATCACACAGAGCCTGCCACAGAGGTTCTACCTGTCCTTCCACGTCGCCTACGAATCCCTGAAGATTTTAACCTCAGTTTCATCATGAAGAGTTTGTGTCCTCAGGGTTAGTGACCTGTCTTTGTAGAAATCTTGAAGAGTGTGTGTCCTCAGGGTTAGTGATCTGTCTTTGTAGAAATCTTGAAGAGTTTGTGTCTTCAGGGTTAGTGACACATCTTTGTAAGAATGACCAGCATGCTCATTATCTCAGGGGTAGTAATTTTTCTCCTGGCTGCCTGTTTTTGTGCTTGTGGAGAGCAACTCAAATATTAGAATGAAAAACCCAGATGGCTGGAAATTTCCTGTCTGTAATTCTCATCTTCTATTTATTAATGATGACCTACACATATGTTTGTAGGTTAAAATTTTCATGCTAAATACCTGCAGCTGTATATGTTTTCCTTTGTTTTCTACCTGGAATAGAAAACTCCCCATATGATTTAAAAAGTATTTTATATAACTTCTCATTTTGATATGCCTTTTTTTTCCAGTAAGCAGTTCCCTTGGCACTGCTTTCTAGCTTTACTCAGAATTAGATCACTGGGGCCATGTATCCTTTGTGTACTGTGTAAGGACTTTAATGTCTTCTTGCATTAGGTTCCTATTGATGTTCACACGAATGATAAGTATGTTATCAATGGGTCATATGCTAATGAAACAAGGCTCAAGATAAAGCATCTTTTGGAAGAAGATGGCAGATCCTACTGGTGCAGTGCAGCTTTCCAGTTAGGCGAGAGTGAAGAGCACATTGAACTTGTAGTACTGAGCTTCTTGGTGCCCCTCAAACCATTTCTTGCAATAATTGCTGAAGTTATTCTTTTAGTAGTCATTATTCTGCTTTGTGAAGTGTATACACATAAGAAAAAGAAGGATTCAGGTAAGACTGTTGTTTTTTATTATATTATCACTTAATTTTGATATGTATTATGTCTTAACACATAGTCACTTTAAAGTTTTGAAGCGTAGCTGGGAGATAGCTCGGTGGGTAAAAAACACTTGCCATGCACAAGTGAGAACCTGAGGACCCATGTAAACATCGGGGTGCATGAGTGAGCACCTGTAACCCCAGCACTCCTCCTGGGAGATGGCAGTTGGAGACAGACTCTCTGGAAACTTTGAGGCCTGACATGCAGAGTGGAGAAGCATCAAAAAGACTTTTATCTCATAGGAGGTAGAAGGGAGGACTAACACCTGAGGTTGTTTTCTGATCTTCAAATGCATGTTGTAGCTGTGTGCATCTTCCTTCATTCACACATGTGAATGTGCACATACACATCATATGCGCACATGTGCTTACATACAAAATAAGTAAAATTTTTTAAAAAATTAATGTTTTGGGCCGGATGTGTGGTAGGATACATCTTTAATCTCAGCACTCGGGAGGGAGAGGCAGACAGATCTCTGTGAGATCAAATCCAGCCTGGTTTATGTAGTGAGTCTAGGACAGCTGAGCTATAGGAAGATACTGTCTGGAAAAAAACCAACAACAGAAGCCCCCAAACAAAAAATCCCAAATAAACAATAACAATAACAACAAAATAAAACAAAAAAATTTGGGGAAATATTCATACTTTTCTTACTTGAATTGGTATTCATGCTTATAATAATGGTGGCAATGGTCTCTGAGCCTGTATTGATGGCCTTTCTGTTCAACTTCCTGGAAATTTGGGAGTTAAAATTATCTTTTTTCTCTAACCACCAGGTAGGGAATGTGTGTTAACATTGGGATATTAGAAAAAGATCTGATTGAGTAATATAAATGGTCTCCACTTGAATTCATTTTAATAATTTGCATGTGTGCACTTAAGTGTATATGGGTGTTTGTGTATGCTGCTGCAGATGCATGTGTGTGTGTGTGTGTGTGTGCCTGTGCAGGCTGGAAAACAACTCAGGTATCATTCTCAGGAAGGCCGTCCACTTCCTTTGAGACATGGTCTGTCATGGGCCTGGTGCTCACCAATTAGGCTAGACCGCCTGCATTGTGCTCCATGGATCCTCTGATCTCTGTCTCCCCAGCACTAGTTACAAGCATGCCAGGCTTTGTAATGCAGCTTCTGGGAATTGAACTTGTGACCTCATTTCCTGCAGCAAACACCTTATGACTAAGATCTCTTCCTATCGTCACTTAAAAATCAAACATTCTGGAATTTTATAAAAGACAATGTTGTATTAGGGCTTTTTGTTTGTTAATTTTTTTGTAACCTTATGGACTAGGGGATGAAAAACCTGTAGTTTGTTGTGAAAATGTGTCATATATCTTGTGTTCTTTCCTGATTTTCATACAAAAATTTAAAAACTTCAATGGCATCATATTTTTGAAAATGTCAGAATGCTAAACGTTTCTTGATTAGAGATACAGGTTGAGTCTGGCATCCTGTTAAGAGGGAGCATGGAGACTGTGCAGCAAGTTCAGGTGGCACCTCTCCTCTCCATTCCATAGAAGTAAACTGCATTTTTAACTTAGAGGGCAGGTGGAATAGAACAAGTATGTCCCTTGAAGAACAATACAGCATACGTGACTGTCACATTATAGCATGCTTCATTATCACATCTTTTTTTGTTGTTGTTATACAGATGATGGGAAAGAATTTGAACAAATTGAACAGCTGTAAGTATTTTATTTTTTACTAATTTTCGCTTGAGTAAAATGCAGGTAAATGTGAAATTAATGGCAATGTTTGCAGTTAGAAACTGAGCCCCACAAATTATGATATGCAAGTTATTTTCTGTATGTATCTACGTGGTGAAAAGTGATTCCCAGCCCTGCCCTCCATCACTTACTGCTCTGTGCTTCTGTTTGCTAATCTGTATAAAACATGTTCATCATGGTACTATTACATAAATCTGTTGGATTAATAATAACAATTTATGCATATAAATGCTTAGGACAGACATTTATATAGTAACTACAAAGAAGTATTAGTTTGTTTAAATGATTTTCTACCTTGGTTGTGTTTTGATCACTGATGATGCTTTTTAAGAGTATGATGCCCAGATTTCACTGGATCCCCCAGATGAGAACTGCTTGGGTTGGGACTAGGCATCTATATTTTCTGTAAACATCTTCCCATGGCTCTGATTTTCTGTCACATAGAACATCTCTGGCTTAGAGTTCTATAAGAATGACTTTTGAGAGAGCACATGTTTTATCATGCATTCTTTGCAGCTCTCCTTAGAGTACAGCATGAAGACATCTGGGAATAAAATGGCCAGGGAAGTACTTCAGGAGGTGGAGGTGGCAAGATTCCATTTTTCCAAGCAAGAGAATAGAGCTCCCAAGACAGGGACTGAAATCTGAAACGAGACCAATGACCTTGAACTAAGACCAGGCAAAGGCAGCTGAGAGGTACCTGTGAAATGGGAGGCCTGACCACCTGTCACCAACACAAGATGACCGGAAGTTGGTCCCCGAGGGGTCTCAGAGGTGCAGTCATGTTAAAGAACAGGAAAGGTTCAGACCGTTTTCCTTCACATACTCAGCATTATTCAAACAGGCATTTTGACTCAGTTTGTACTTAGCAGGTAGGAGATAATCAAGCCAGGGTTCCATCAAACCAGGCAAGGAAACCAGTGTCACCTTAGACTTGAAGACTCTCATGATTGGATGAGAACTGTACCTGCTCCAAGGAAGTCTGTTCTATTCCTGAAGAAGTCTGATGTTTATAGCGATTTTAACTTTGAATCTCTCCTATTGATTCCCAGTTACTGGTCTTCTTATTTTAGACTCATAAAAAGTGTGACAGCCATTCATATACTTGAAGACAGTTATAATAATGCCCTGATTTTCTGTTTTTCCAGCCAACCATTGCCCAGTGTCTGACCACTCCTAGGATGTGACTGAAGGCCTGGGATGCATCCTTATTTGTTCAACACACACTCAGAAAGGATGCTGTCAGAACAATGTGGAATGAACTATCAGTTCTATATAATTTAATTTTCATTTACACAGCTTGTCTTATTCAATGCCGTTTTTTTTTGTTTGTTTGTTTCCCTAGAACTTCTTGTAAACAATGTCAGAGTGACTCAGTCTATAATATGAAAAAAGGAATCCTTCTTTCATTTTAAATTGAGATAGTAGACATCATGTTCTCTACCCTTTATCACCACAGAGATCGCTGAGAGGTTCTTACTTTTAGTTTCGATTAGTACTTATAGCAAGGGCATCTTAAGCTCATTTAGAGCAACCCTCAGCTACCATTCCTTTCAGATATTTTAGTTCATTTAGTTAGGAGGTAATTTTGGGGGTAGAAAACACGTATATGTTTTATGTGCATTATATTTCACATATGCTACTTAAGCGTTTAAGTAACTATGGTTCACTAGAGCTTCTTGGTAAAAATATTTTAAAAAAATAATAGTACACATCTAATATCAATACAAGTTACTTCCTTCAAGTACCTCAGTGAGGAGTTAGCTCACTTGTCAGATCCACTAAGACCTTTAACCCACCCAGTCCCACTCACCAGCACGTCCACACTCCAGTTTTGATATGATTTGGTTGTTGACTTTGTTGGTTGGTTCATGAGTGCAGGCCTGCATACAAAATCTCCAGTGAGATTCATTCTGTTCAGTTATCTTGTACAGTCATGCTTAAGGTCAAACCCACACTTGTTGGCTGTTTTGATGTGTATTTAGTAAAGAACATCTTTAACTTCTAATTTAATTATTATCTAGTATAATAACCACCAAAATATAATTCCTGTCATATACATTAGCTGAGCACCTGTTGCCTGTTCTCATGGTTTCAGAACAACATGGCAGAGTTCCAAGCCCAAGGCCCACTGTTGCAGGGAATGAAGCAGTTCTCTGAATGCATGATCAGACAAGCTTTTTCACCACCATCTGTAGCAGTAGGTCCTGTTTAAGCAATGACGTAAAAGTAAACTCAACATTATGAGTAGAACATTATATGGAAGAATGAATTCAGTTTGTACTGAATTTTTCAATTTTCCCTCAGCCTTGATATAAATGGTATATAGATTTAATTGTGTGCACTGTGTACATCTGGTGGTTTACCTTTTTTGTTTTTGACACAGGAAATCAGATGACAGCAATGGTATAGAAAACAATGCCCCAAGGCACAGAAAAAATGTAAGTTACTTCCAAATGATTGTAAAAGGTAAAATTCAATATATGTGGGCTATGAAACATTACATTTTTCAGTTTCATTCAAGACCTAGTCATTTACTGTGTGCATGAATACACTTATTTGCACTGTGGTAGGAGATAATATGGGCTTATAAAATAATTAGTAGCATCCTGGGGCTGGAGAGATGGTTGAGCATTTAAGGGCAATTGGCTGCTCTTACAGAGGATCTAGGTTCAGTTCCCAGAACCCACATAGTGGCTAACAACCATCAGTAACCCAGCTCCAGGGGGATCTGACACCCTCTTCTGTCCTCTATGGGCATTGCATGGCATGGGTGTGGGCAGCACACTCATACACATAAAATAAAAGTAATTAAAAAATTAATAGTGTCCTTTTCCATGAGAGAATAGGTGGCGATCCTCCTGTCTCAGTCTCCTGAGTGCTGGGATTGCTTGCACTCAATTCCCAGGTTAATTTCATAGTCTCTGTATATTTTTTTCTTTTATCTCTAAAAAGAAAGCTTTTGGGATTGTTGGTTTCAAATGTTTTCATGTAGCTTTTTATTCTCATCTAAAACATTCTGAATTCTTCTATTTTATTTGCATGTGTTACCATATGGTTGATGCAATGAACTAATCCATTATAACTACTTTCCTTTATTGATTCATAGTTTTCTTAGTTTACCGATGTTAGAACTTTCCTAGCTAGTAGATGGCAAGCTCGCGTCCCATCACTTCTTTGCTTTGCAGAAAATGATAGCAAATTCATTCTAGAGTAACAAGGGCAATAACTGTTTCATTATGCTTTGTTTGATTCAGGAATCTGCGAACCAGTGAATAAGGACGATCATGTTGCCATGGGAAGATGAACGAAGAGTCTGTATTTAGCTTTGCTTATCCTTCCTTTTATAAGAGTGTTTGGATTTTAATTTTTTAAAAGACAAACCATTATGCAACATGCACAGTAATAGCTTTATCTCTTATCTAAAGGTGTATTTTCATTTTGTAATTGTTTTACATTAAATCAAAGTAAATTGTTTTAAATGTGTCCTGTGAGCCATAGCCTAGTATAAAAAATGTCATCCTGGTCCAGACCAGAAGGTACAGAACAGACACCAGCAAAATTAGTTAATAATTCACAGAATACATATCACTAAAGCCCTGTTTGTTACCAAAGAATTTATTGAAAAGAAAGCTTTTGCCATTTGTCTCAAAAAGTGTTTTTTCCCAAGTCATAGTGAATATAATTACATGTAGATGTGTTTGCAACAATTTCCCTGTAACTTCCTGTGATAGTGAAACTGTTTTCACTAAGAAATAGACTCTACACTTTTACTAATGGTGGCTGCTTCACCACCTGTACACTAAGACGTGCTTTTACTCCATGAAGAATGTGAGGCAAGGGAATAAAATCGTATGCTTACCCCAGAGTCACAGCAAAACCAAATCTCCACATCCTGACCCCACCTCATTGCTTCTGCACCCCAAGCGAGGGTGCTTCTTGGCTTTAAGTAGGATGTTTTCATTGGTCTTTACCATGGGGTTTGGTCTTCGGTCCTCTGGGGTTGCTGTTTCAGAGTGCAGATTTGTGTAGTCATGATGCACCACTGCTGCCTGCATGCTTCTGTCGCCCTTGGTACAGAGAGTTTCACTGTATGTTCCTGACTGGCCTGAAACTCACTATGTAAACTAGGCTGGCCTCAAACTCACAGTGATCCTCCTGCCTCTGCCTCCTAAGTGCTGGGATTAAAGGGATGCATCACCATGCCCAGAGATTTCTGGGTATCTTTAATTTGATATCTAGTTTCTGGCTAAATATGTAAAAATGCATTATCAGTGCTTTACAATAGCGATGCCTTTGACTACAGTCCTGAAGTGTTAATGTCTTGTTTTTATTTTGCTGCTCATGCCTTAGACTAACCTTGAAAAATAGAATGTTTTCATTACATATATCACTGAAATAGTTCACAAACGCATGGGAACCAAATCATTTCAACTTGAGAAGGTATAGAAAGTTGTCATTGGCTTTAGTGAAGTATGGCAGTAATGCCTCAAGATACTAGGCAAGGTATCCCTGGTGTGGCAGGGTTTCTGTGCCATGCTGTTTGCAGGGGAAACAGGGTTAAGGACAATCCGAAACAAAGAGGAACTTGGGGTGGTAGTGGAAAAAACCTGCAGTTCTTGGTTGGCCATTAGGGGATTAGAGCTTGGGTAAAAAGAATCCAATAATTAATTTCACAACAAAAACATTGTAGAAAGTTATGCCATGTGTATCAGCTAAGAAAAGTGCAATTGTATCTTGATGTCTACTAATAACACTAGCAAGAATAATACACATAAAATAGTAATATGGCAACTGCTTCATCTTTTGTTATTTTTATTGAACTAGAGTACATCCCTTTTCACTAGACATCATGCCTTCTCTTAATCAAAGAACTGTGTATTTGATTTGCCTTAATTAATGATTAATTTGACAAAATAATCTTGGATAATATTATAGCAGTTAGTTTAATTAAACATTTTGAATTTAGTGAAAATTTGATAGGCATCATTTGGTGAAGTCCCACTCATAGTAGTGTACTTGTGACTAGGTACATACAACCCAAGCCAGTTACAGTAGCAGAATTCATGTTTTCTTTGCCACCACTGACAATTAGGTTGAAATAGTTTTTAAAGAAAAAAATAGCTGCCCAAAGGTAAAACCTGAAGTATTTATGTATTAAAATGAAATTCTAAGTGGTGATATTTTGTAGCAAAGACAGATTTTAGTCACTTTAAATAGAAATAAGTTGTCAAATATTTAAGTTGATTTTTAGCCTCTCTGGAGTACTCGGAAATTGTTCCATCTCTGTTAGATTAACAATGGAACGCTCCCATTAACTAACCTCATGGAGATGGTAAATGGATTAGCTAAGGACTAACTATAAATTGACCGCAAAGAGTAAACAGCAGAAAGGCTGTTTAGAAAACTACCCTGAGTTCTTATGTTAGACACCTGGGAAATTTGATTAATCTTTCCAGTTGGTGGGGTTTTTCCATGTAATAATTAGATTTAATGATGCCATAAATCTCCCAGATAATTTTATATGCAATTTACACTAAAGGGTGTTTCCTTTTGCAGTCTTTTTTTGCCCCAGCTAGCTAGTCATTCAAGCTCAACTCCAAATTCTTTATGGTATTTTCTTCTTTTCTTCTTGGCTATGAATCCCTGTTCCTTGGACTGTCTTAATGGTACAAGAGTCAACCCAGTACCTCCCTGGCCTCATCTTCCCAGCTATAACAGCTAAGATCTTGATTTTCCCCCTTAGTCTCATCATCCAGCACTCCATCCTCTATAGTGTGGCCTCAGTCTTCTTCCCAAAACACGAAGATCTCACTTAACACCTTCATGCATCAGTTTCAGGCCCAACATGCAGCTCATCTTTGCCGTTTCTCAGTCCAGCATCACCCAGTCACCAATCTCCCCCCAGTGTCTTGAATTAGCCCAGAATGCTCCCATGCTTCTCTGAATTCCACCAGCTCAAGATTAACTTTTAGGATGCTAACATCTTAGAGGAAACCCTCATATTGCTGGAGTGGTACCTTCTTCTGTGTTCATATGCCTCTGTATTTTTGTGTTTTTAACCTGTATTGTAAACACAGTTGTTGCTCTCCTTCCTGGATTCTGACTTTTCATTTCTGTGCCTTGTGTTTACCACAGGGAGAGTTTGTTACAGATATTGTAAAATGTGTGTTGAGTGGTAGAATGTTTAAATATAAAAGAAACATAAATCTGTACCAGTTCTTAGAACACCATTTTAATTTGTGACAATTAGAGTTGAAAAAAAAATTAGAGAGAAAAGCAGGTTTTCTAACTTCCTAAATTGTTATAGAGAATGCATTATATTGATTATTCTGTATTTTAATTCGTATTGTCCTTCAAGTTTCCTGGTCAGTGCATGAATGAGCTTTATGTTTACCTTTTATTTTAATACAATAACACACTGACTGCAAACACACAATTTTAGTGATTGTATTCCTTTGAATGGCACAGTCGAGAGCTGGTGTCTGCTCACCCTTCTGTGCTCCAAATTCATCTCCCCTGTGTGTAGATACTGTTGAACATCCTAGAATAAACTTCAGATTTAATATTAAAATAAGTATTTTACAAATGGTTTTATTATAAATTTTGATCACTAGAAGCATATTTTTCATCAGATTAATCAAAAATAAAAACCCTGTTATTCTGCTTGTTTATATGGTTTTTACCTTTGAGGCATTTAAATAGGTTTGTGCACAATTATTTACCATCTACTATTCTTCCCTGTAGGAAAGCGAATCTTTTGTAATTGGGCAAATCAAGACAAGGAATTAAGAACTTCCTTCCCTTTAGTGCTGTTCAGCTTTGGAAAGGATAAGTTCAAATGTCTATTCCAGTATTAATTGTAAGGCACAGCGCCTCCTTGTCTGAAAATATATTTATGGAATGCATAAAAATAGACAAATAACTCAGTTATTTTGGAATCTTAAATTACACATATTTATATGCCTTCTCTTTTGCTTATGATTTGTTAGCCATGAGCTTATCCTAGTTGTCATAGGAAGAAAACTGAAACTACTTCTTTACTGCTTCGGAGTCAGTTGCATGCTCTTTTTACCAATCAACAGAGATGCATCACATTACTTAAAGCTAATAACTGGCGTTAGTTGAGTGTGTGGCATATGATAGGCATTACTTTGAAATGAGTTACCTTACTTAATCCTTGCATCATTTTATGTTATAAAATTAGTTCTCTGCTTTTTAATAGATGCACAAATTCAAGTGTAACACCATTAAATAAACTGCTCAAGTCACTATGTTGTACACAGAATTACATTAAAAACTAAGCTAGCCTGGGCTGACTTGACCCATCTTGTTGCTTTGAACTGCTAGTCACACACTTCCTAGAAAATGATACTGTCACCAATCATTTGTCTATTTTTAAAATGTCAGTCTTTTAGGTGGTTAGTTATATCACAAGCCAGAATCTTTCAGAGTTTAGGGGACCTGTGCTTTGGCATTCCTGTGTCCCTGCAGTGGTGCTGGGGAGTCAACACATATTTAAGGTTCTTTTCTTCTAGTTTTTACTTGTCAGTAGTGAGAATGACCATAAAACGTATCATCTAGACACTGAAAATAAAAGAAGGTGCTATTTATAATTTTACCAAGACAGGTGGAAAGCAGACCCTTCAATTATACATTCAGCCTGCAGGAAGGAGTGACTGCTTTGTGGATGTTCTGTCACAGACACAGCCCCAAGTTAGAATGATTGACAGAAATTCACTTTCAGGGAAATAGCCATTTTCAGTAAATGTCAGGTGAGTGTCACTGTGGAGAAGTGCCTATAATGACATCGTTTACCGAGCTTATTAAAGTTTTATGACTTTCCACAAGTTTCTTACCATGACTAAAGTTTGTTGGCATTCAGAAGTGTGATTTACAAGTTGTAAGAGAAGGTGACAAAGAAAGTCATGATTTTGCAAGTGTGTGGAGTGGACTGGAGAGTTCTTGGGATTTGTGTATTTTCTGCTAAATGCATTGTATTAATAACATGTGATCCCTGTGACCCAAGAATGCTGATTATGCCTTTATTATAAAATTTGCTTATGAAATAATTGAAATTCACTCACTATAGAACTGACAGAATTACTTTTAGTCCCATGATTAGTCTGTAGTGTCCGTATTTCTTACTCCCTTGTACCTCAGCGGGAAAATGCTATGGAAACACGCTTAGAGTGGTTAAGATCTCTAAATATTATTTTGGTCTGTTGTCTTTTATGCTTAAAAACACTTTTCAGAAACATTTACTTTGTTATATAATTTTCATTTCTTAAAATAGTTTATCACCAATTATTTTTCTAAAGTTTATTTGATAATCATGAACATTTTAGATTTATTACATGTCATTAAATTTAATGCTGCAAAAAGAAGAGCTGATTATATTTTGTACCTTTTAAAATAGAGATTTATCCTAAATAAGTTTTATTTAAATCAAAGACCATTGATCTATTATATTTTTCCTAATAATTGTTTTCTTAGCATATGCATTTAAATTCTCATCGATACCTTTCTATATTATGTAAATGGCACAAAACTGTCAATACTGGAATGTTGTAAGAGTGTTTGCTGCATATATATTTATTATGCAATTAAACTCAATAAAATATACTCCGTGAATTAAATTTTTAAGCATTGGGAAATACATTTTCAAGTTTTTTGTCTTTTAAAACAGATTTAAAATTTATTTATGCGTATGTCTGTGTGTGTATGCTTACATGTGTGAGAGTGTCAACAAAGGCCAGAAAAGGGTGTCATTCTTTGCAGCTGCAATTACAGGCAGTTGTGAGCCACCTGATGTGGGTGCTGAGAACTGAACTCCAGTTCTCTGCAAGAGCAGTAAGCCCTCTTAACCACTGCAGAGCTATCTTTCCAGCTGAAAATTTTTACTTTTTAATAATGACTTAAAAGTGGACATTAAGGCACTAGACAATAGAAAGCAATTTTCAAAATATATTAAAATATATTTTTAGAGTCTAAATGACGACTATGCCCATGATTAAAAATGGCCATTTAAGGGGCTACAGAGATGGCTCAGTGGTTATGAGCACTGATTACTCTTACAGAGGACTTGGGTATGATTCCCAGTACCCACATGTAGGCTGTGAACCATCCTTAACTCCAATTCCAGGGGAATCCGAAGCCCTCTTCTGAACTCCACGGCATTACATGATGTGGGTGCATTCACATACATGCAGGCAATATACTCATACTAAATAAGTAAGATAAGTGAATAAATAAAATGGCCACTTAAAATGAAATTGACACATGGATTAAATTTTCTTCTTTTGCTGGATAATTTCTTTTAAATATTTTATTGTCATTTTAGGTTGATTCAAGAAAAAAATTGTTGTAAAATGCAAGTTTTTTAAATTAATATTTTACAGTATTCTGTGAAGATATCTATGGCTACAAAAGAAAATCAGTACTCCAAAAGGAGCACTTTAATGACTCTAATAAGGAAAAACAGGTATTAAGCAAGACTTACATGATTTCATTATGTGTTATATTTGATTTTTACCCCAATCAAAATAACTAGACACCTACAGACTGATTAATGGCTAATCAAGAGCTATTTATCTTCTACAACATGTAAGTCCAATTTAATGGAAGTGAGCAGTTGTATTTCTTTTTCAATTGTATTTTTGATGACTGGTTTAACAAGCAATGGTTGGGCCCTGCAAAGTGATATGCACATTTAAACCTAGCACTGAGAGGGCAGAGACAGTTGTATCTCTGTGAGTTCAAAACCAGCCAAGGCTACATAGCAAGACTGTGTCTTAAGAAACAAAGCTGGAAAGCAAACAATAACAAAATTCCCTAATTGTTGGGAGGTCAACATCTTGACATGTGAAGCAGACACAATCTTACTGTTCTGGTAATTATAGCTGATAATGTTAGGCCTTATAAAATAAAGAATAAAAGATTCTGACTTAAATCAAACACCACCACCACCACTACTACTGCTACTACTATTACAATAATTTCCAAAACTGGGTGTGGTGCCACATGCATGTGATCCCAGCAGTCAGGGAACTAAAGCAGGAGGATCTCAGGTTTGAGGCCAATCTAAGCTTCATAGTGAGACCCTGTCTCAAAAGACTGAACTAGACTATTTAAATAAGTGAATTCACTGCATTTGGAAAATACCAAACAATAAACAGTGAAATCTATGTCAAGATACAAGGTAATCAAAGTTGTGGAAGCTAAAGACAATTATTTTAAAGATTTATATTTTATTGATGTGTACATGTGCATATCTGTATGTACACATGCATACAGATGCCCATGGATTGGTTATGGTTCATTATCTGTTTAGGGATTTTAGTTGGGTTCATTTTCTCTACCAACATTAAAAGGCAAGAAAATTTTCAGATATAATAGAGACTTTATTTAGAAGGAATGAAGAGCCACACAGCCATACATACAGACAGACAGACAGAGAGAGAGAGAGAGAGAGAGAGAGAGAGAGAGATCCCAGAACCAAAAATCCAACTTCCCCCAGAGAGGACCTGGGTTTCAAGTGTTTCCCCACCTCTAATTTTGGATTGGTTAACTTAAACAGAGAAGAGACTGCTAATAAGTCAAGCTCCTTGCTGAGATATGTCCACTGCTATGTGACTTTCAGCAGGTCAGTTGAAAGGGTCCTGTTGGAGTTAAAAATAAGGTCTTCCTGGCAGACCAAGAATCAGTAGCAAGGGTGCCATCTGTATTGCTCTTCTGGGATCCTCTCTCCTTATTAGAGATTTAGTTTCTTACAAGAGTCCCTGAAGCTGGAGTGAGTGGTGGGTAGACTAACATGGGAACTGGAAACTGAAATCTGATCCTGAGGAGGAACAGCAAGTATTCTTAACTTCTGAGGTCTCTCAATCCCAAGACAACATTGACACGGTGATATCTAATACCTATTGTGAAAGGACAAATTGAACAACAGTAGATTTTTCCCAAGACCATGGACTAACAGAGGTGTTGCAATGTTACAAAAAGGTTCATACTGTCAGTTCAGAACTCTGTATGGTTCTTTAGTAATGCAACAGAAATGAGGACATTTAAAATGAAGGACGGCAGGGTGAAGCTCAGTGGTAGAGCACTAGCTGATTGGGTAAAGTGCCCCGAATTCAATCGCCAGCTCCACATGAAAAACAAACAACAGAAGTTGAATAAGGGACAATTAAGCAACTGTTGTCACCAATAGACCCACTATAGAGGAATGTCTAAAGAACATTCTATAAAAAGAAAGGGAATGATAAGTAATTTTGTAACACCAGGAAGAAAGCATCACAATAGAGTAATGGTAGCAAAAGATAAAATAGATATTCTTCTCTTGATTTTCCCGTTGTGTTTGACTGTGAAAGCACAAATTACAGTACTGACTTACTTGTCAGTGTAATATAAATATAAGCAAACATTTAGTGTTCTTACAGGTGGAATCAAAGGGACATATTTGAAAAGACGAAGTTCCTACAGTTCATTCAAGCTGATAAAATATCAGCACTTGTAAATTTTAATAAAGTGTAAAATTATTTAATAAGTTGTGTAACCCTTAGAGCAACAACTAAGGAAGCTGTTAAATATCTGTAGCAGTAATTTCCAATAAAATGAAATTCTAGTTGATGGGGATGGAAGGGCGGTAAAAGAGGATGTGTGAGAGAGAGTAATTAGAAATATTATAAACAAATATGCATGAAATTGTCAAATAACATCAATTAAAAATGAAATTCTAAACAATGTTCCAGCTACTCTAAAGAACACACACACACAAATAATAGCAAGGAAAAGTAAGAAACAGAAGACAAGAAAAAGTACCAGGCTTAGGTCTTAATGTCAATAATATTATAAATCTCAATAGACATATATTAATATCAGACATTGGTAAATGTGTATTTAAAAACTCAACCGCAAGGCTGGAGAGATGGTTCAGTGGTTAGGAGCACTGGCTACTCTTGCAGAGGACCTGGGTTCGATTCCCAGCACCTACATGGTGGTTAACAACTGTCTGCAACTCCAGCTCCGGGGGACCTGATGCCCTTTTTTGACATCTGCGGGCAATGCACAACATGGGTGCACTTACACACATGCAGGCAATACACTCATACACATAAAATAAAAATAACAAATAGTAAATTACTTAAAAACTCAACTTTCTGCCTCTTGTGAGAAGCTCAATTCAAGTACCGCAGCATAGGTAGATTAAAAGAAAAATGCTGGAAATATATGCAGAGTAAACCCTAACTGAAAGAAAGCAGAAGAATCCATGTTATTAAATGAAGTACATGTGAGCGGGAAGAAAATTACCAGAGACGGAGGGGTCATTAGACCGCGATAAAAGGATCAACCCACCAAGAAAATAAAGACCAAGTAAGCAAGTTGCAAAGTATGTGATAAAACTATGAGCAAATATTTGATATAACTGATAGGCAAATCCACAATTTCAATTAAAGACGTCAACATTCACCTTAATAGCTGACAGAGCAACTCAACAGAAAAGCAGCAGGTAACGGTGACGCAGCCTGTAATAGCAACAGGGAAATCTTTGTGGAGATGGATTAGGTTCATATTTTGGTGATTGTGTGCATTTATGTGATTAAAGAATTGTGCACATACATTATGCCAATGCCCATTCCCTTCCTTTGATGTTGTCCTATAATTACACTGGAGGAAGAAAACAAGTTGAGGGCAGATGGGGCTGATCTGATTCGTCTTTGCAGCTTCCCGAGAATCTGTAGTTTTTCAAATCTAAGTATTAAAACAAAATTTGAGTCACTAAAGCACTAGATATCACATGTGTTAGAAAATAAATGTGATACAGAGTCTGGGGAGATGGCTCAGCAGTTCAGAGTGCCTTTTTGCTCTTCCAGAGGACCCAAGTTCAGTTCCCAGTACCCATACGAGGCAGCTTACAACTGCCTGTAGCTCCAGCTCTAGGGGATCTGACACCTCTGATCTTCAAGGGGACCTGCACCCAAGACTGAAATAAGTCTTTAAAATGTGATTTACATTCTTTATTTCTCATTATGATTCAGGCAGAAAACCAATCTCGAAGATTAGTTAGAACCATTGGTAAAAAACAAGATATTGGGTTGGTCAAAAGTCCCAAATATTTAGATTATAAGACCTTTCCAGATCATATTTGTAAAAACAGTTTGCTATTTCTTTTTTGTTTGTTTCTTTGTGTTTTGTTTTTTTTGAGATAGGGTTTTCTATTAGCCCCAGCTGGCCTGAAACTTGCTGTGTAAACCAGGCTAGCCTAAATCTCCCAGAGATCCCTTTGTTTCTGCCTCCCAATGCTGACATTAAAGATGTGCGCCATCACATCCAGCCTGTTTCTTATTTCCACTTAAGAATGTGTTTTAAAATTC